CGATCTCTCACCTGCGCCGCGATCCCAGAGGCTCCACCACCCAGGCCCACCCCCAGCCCCGCCACTGCGCACGCGCTCACCTGACACTCCCGCGACACGGCCCCTCCCCCCTGCGCTGCCCATGCCCAGAGAGAGGTGGGTTTTTTTCCCCCTCTTTCTCCATTGGATGAGAGCGAGGGAGGGGCGTGGTTAGTCAACCAGTGTCCAGACCGTAGATTGGTTGATATTAGAGACCGGTCGGGGATTGGCTGAGAGGTGAAAGGGGGGGAGGTGTCTAGGATTGGATCACAGAAGCCAGCCTTCAAAGAGAAGCATGCGCTGATTGGCTAAAGCACCCTCAGCAGAAAATACCGTTTTTGATTGGCTGATGTAATTAATGCCCTGAAGAGATATGCTTTATGATTGGCTGGAAAAGAGACCTTCGGTGATTGGCGAATGGGCTCTCACCCGTCCAGTGAATTCTTCTTTAATTGGCTCCAGCCTCGATACCCTCTCTGATTGGCGGAGCGGGGGTTGCCGTGGCGACGCGTGCGGAGTGTTTCGGGGACCTGGCGCCAAGGCGAGGATGGGGTCGGGGGGCGGCCTGAGGCAGGTGAGCGGGTGGGGGGCGCGCTACGCTGTCTCCATGGCAACCGCGCTGCGTAGCCCCTTCCCCGGGGTGGGGCACTTCGGCCTTATGAATATTCATGAACTCTCGTTAATATTAATATGGGCTAATGAATATGCATGTTCTCATTTCGTTAATGAGCTCGTTAACATTCACCTGATTAACATAGAGCCGCTAATTAACACGCAGGGGGCACTGCATTGGCAATGATAGATTGTGTCTAATTAACACATGGGCTAATTAGCGCGCATTTCATTAATATGAACCGGCTAATTAGCCTTCGTCACGTCATTAATAAATGCGACACTAGCGCTCACTCGGGGGAGTCACCCCAGCCACACAATGGTCACATCATGAATATTCATCAGCTCATGAATATTCATCAGCTGGTGCCTGTGTGGAGGCTGATTTGCATTCGGGGGCCACCCCTGTGCAGCCGGGAGGGGAAGGTGACGTGAGCCACCTCGGACTGGGCTGCCCCTTAACATGCACCTGCGGGAACAGGCACCGCCAGGGCATGCGGCTCCCGCGCCTCCTCAATATTCATCCTCTCGGCCCTGGTGAATATCCATTAACTCCTGCGCCCTCAGTCACTAGCCGCCTGGTCCCTGGCCGGGATGGGAGTCGTTTTCCACAAGCTGCCCCGGCCCCTTTGTGCTCGGCCCATACAGGCCCTGCCCCAAAGAGCCGCCAATCTCCGGGTGAAACCAAAGACCCTACGTGGAGCTCCACAGACCAACAGGAGCACAAGGGGACAACAGCTGCCTGCGGGATTGGCACACACCAGCAGCCTAGTCACAGTCAAGTGTTTTAATTATCAACATTAATTAATACTAATTCAACATGACCATTCACCCCGCCCCGCCAGTCAACTTTTTAACAAACCTCATCTCCTTAATAGTCACCACCTCATTTATGCTGCTCGCTCTCTGCACAGCCAAACACAGCATTGCCATAAAATAATTAATATTCCTCACCTAATTACTTCCCAGGTTTAGGTTAAGTTTAGTTTACTCCCTGATCTAGTAGGAAGGGCTACCAAGTGGGCTTGCTTAGTCTTGAGAAAAGGAGCCTGAGGGTGATCTGATACATTATCCAATATTATAAGGGCTATTCTAAAGAGGACAATGATCAATTGTTCTCCATGGCCACTGGAGGAAGGAGAACAAGATCACCCTGAGCTGTTACCAACCCTTAGGAACATCAAGCAACTGAGTACATGAACTAACTCACTTTTCAGGTTTAACACATGACGTGTTTTTTTGACTCAAGATGGCCACTGGCCAGGCCACCCTCTTTGGGAAAGGTGAAGAAAGTGGGACCTGCCATTCCCCCTCCCCAGTGCCTCAGACACTCCCATTGTATTCACTGACACCCCCCATTGCTCTCTCTTTCAGCCCCAGTGCCACAAAGCCCAGATCTGCATGTGGTGAGTAGCAGCCATGCCTTCCAAAGGGGACTGTGGTGCTGCTCAGCTCCAGAGGCTCTCCATCTCAGTGCTTGATGAGCCATCCCCATGTGGTGGCTCTGCATGGCTCTCATCCACCTCCCCATCCCAGAGGCAACAGCAGTCCAGTACCAGGCAGGTTCCCCGGGAGGTGTGGCTGTGCGGCTGCTATCCAGCTGCCCCACCTGCGCTGCAGCTTTTCAGAACTATTTATTGACACCCCTCCCCCCAAATAAGTGGAGAACAGAGCAGATGAAACTAACTGCAAAAGAAAGCAGAGCAAAGAGCAGGGGAAGCAGAGCGACATCTCGGTATTCATCAGCTAGGATTAACCAAAGGTGTCTAAAAAGGTCAGACCAGATCTTTTCAAATGTGTCCAAGGCCTTCTCCTCTGAAATGTTTCCCTTCTTTAGCTGCTAGGTTGGGTAAGTTTCCGTGCCAGACTTCTGCTCTTCCCTCTCACCCCACAGGTCGTGTGGCTCCAAACACGACTCTAGAGAACCAGACGTCCTGGGAGCCGAAGTGTTTCTAAGCTGATGGGGTTTAGCCCACAGCCCAGATCTGGGAAGTGATTGTGAAGGACCCTTCTCACACTTATCCTCCCTACCTGCTTGTAGCTAAAGGGCCGTACCCCAAGACAGTGCCCAGGCCTGGCAGCTGGTGGCTCTCCAGAGAGCACATGTGGCATTTGTAATGGTTTGCAAGGCACCATCCCACTGGCTAAGGTTCCAGGCCTAGGATGGATCTAAATTAGGGTCCGTCTTTTGGGCCAGGGAGTCATACTGGGCTGCAGCTGGTCAGGTGAACCTCTCTCCTCCTCCTTTCTGGAGAGTCTGGCGTAGCCAGCACATAGGACCAACTCTGTCCTTAAGCTGCAGGTAACACCAGGGAGGAGTACTTGGAATGACAAAAACGGGGCCTCTGGGATCAGCTGAGACACACAAAGTGCCTCCTCATCCTCCCCAATTAATGCTCTCTTAGCGATGTTCCACAGTGGGCTGTTGAGGGGGCTTCACATTTCGCTAATGGCCTTGGGGCCCTCTCCCTGGCGCAGGAAGTACCTGGACGCTCACTCCATGGACCTCATCGACAAAGCACAGACCAGCGACCAGCTGAAGAGGTAACTGGCTTTAGGACTCAGGGAAGGATCTGGGTCGGTGCCCACCCCCCCAGCTCTGGGGGGAGACATGCAATCCCTGAGCTTGAGCTTGGGGATCCACACTGCCCTTGCACTGTAGGGAGAACACCCCCTATATTCTCAGGTCCAGCCTACTGCCCCCCACCCTGGAGGGTGCCCCTGAGAAAAGGGAGAAGCCCCACTCCTGCTGTCAGGTGGCCCCCTCTCTCCAGGGTGCTGGCAGAGCAATTCCAGCTGCAGGACTGGGAGTCAGACCCCCGGGCTGCCATACTGCTGGATCTCTACTTCTACACGATGCAGTTCAGCCGGGAGCACAATTTTACCCGGGAGCAGAGCTCCGCCTTCTTCGCCATCGTCCGGGACACCCATGAGGCCTGCGTGGGTAAGAGATGGGGCAAAGGGGGATTCCCTCCAAAGTGGCGGAGGAGCTGAAGGGAGTAGGTGGGGCTGAGTTTCAGGGGAGAAGCCTACAAAAATGAGTATGGGCTGTAGAGGAGCTACTATGAGTAGGGCTGGGCACCGAGGGGGAGGAGCCTACAGGGTGAATATGGCAATAGCAAGGAGTGGAGCCTATAGGCTGCATAGGGCTCTTGGGAGGAGCCTGTAGGTTGGGCATGGTGCAGACGGTGCCTATAAGGGTGAGGCAGCTACAGCAAGGAGCCTGGAAGAATGTGCTTGTGGGGGAGGAGCTTGCAGGGTGGGTGAAGCCATGGGGTGTGCAGGTCCCTCAGCTGCCTCTGCTCCCCCAGAGACACCACTGCCCAACGTGGAGGAATGTTACCACTACCTCACCGAGCTGCTCTTCTGCCACGCCATCCGGGTGAGCCCCCCGCCCCGCCCCGCCCCACCCATGGGGGCAGCTCCAGCCACTCAACCCTCCGGGCTGCTGCTAGCTCGCCCATGGCAGAAG